AATACCGAATTTCCGCCTTCCGGAAATGCGATGAATGGAGTCCCTGTGGTAAGTCGCCGTTTGCGGTAGGTATTTCATTACCACAGCTCCAGGAAAGTAACATGAGCGCCCCATGAACTCTATTTAATGACAGTCATGGTGCCCACCTACAACCCTCTACACCCTGTGGTGTAGTATGGATATGCTGTGTGTGGTATGGATATAGCTTGGGAGTCTCATCCAAGGGTTCATGGGTTGAAGTTTAATCCCCACTGTGAGGTACTGAGGGTAGAAAATTAATCCAATGTGGCACTCAGAGATGGGGCCTTTGGGGGTGATTAGTATGAAATAAGCCACGGAGTGGAGTCTTCCGGAATAAATGCTGGTGGTTTCATGAGAACGGGGAAGATCGGTGCAGGCTCCCTGTACCCTGCCCTGTGCTGCTCCAGCAAGAGGACCACTACCAGGAGCAGGGGCTCAGTGGGTAGAGGGCTTGCTGTGCAAGCCCCAGAACCTGCACAGGAGCCGGGTGCCGGCGCACCGCCACTGGGGGGATCGCACTGCCGGGGGCTCCCAGGCCAACCAGCCTGCTGCACTCAGCAGTGAACTCCAGTGAGCCTCTCTCAGACAAAGTGCGAGGCAAGGTCCGACACCTGAGCTTGTTCCCTGACCTCCAGACATGGCCGTGTACACCCACACCCACATGCACGAACGTGCACACAAACATTGTCCACACAGCCCAGAAAACGAAGCTATTGCCAAATGTGGGCCCGCTCCTCCAGAACAGAACCAAGGGCCAAAATAAACTTCTTTCCAACATACCAAACGTGTAGTGGCATTGGTGATTAACAGACAAAGGACTAATACACCTTGCTGTGCTGTGGTTTTTGTTTGCTTGTTTGTTTTTAACGTTTCTAAGTATTTCCACTTCTTTTGAGAAATTCTGGGAAATGCACCACAAAAGTTCAGAACAACAAAAGAACTTGGACTAGCTTTTTTTTTTTTTTTTTTTTTTTTAAACCTGAAAATGTCAAATTCTAGAATTGCTTGTTTTGAAGCTAACTTCCAAACAAGACAGGATAAAAATAAATAAATAAATAAATAAATAAATAAATAAATAAATATTAGAAAAAGAAATCATAGACATCCATGACACTGTTAGAACAGCTCACTCTTTTCAGAACAAGGTAGGTAAGGTTTGCTCCAGTTAAGTTTTTCGTTTTTGTTTGTTTGCTTGCCTGTTAACAACAACAAGGCAACAAAAGCAGCGGGCCCTTAAAAACAAGTCAGAGGCTGTCCTCACTGAAGCAAGTGGCAGCCTGTGCAACCCTGGGCTGGGCTGGCCTGCTGCCTGCTGGGCTGTGGCTCACACTTTGTTGGGGGTTGGGAGAGCGGCCCTGAGCCTGGGCTGAGTGAAGGCTGCACTTAGAGAGCGGCTTCTGTGAGTCCCCTCCTTTGTTTCTCTCTGCTCTTGGCTCTGGACAGGTCCCTCACTGCCCTGTTCCTCTTTGGTGGGGGGGACCAAGTGTTCTCAACTGTGTTAATCAAGAATCTTATTTGTGCCGGCAAGGGGACACTTCATCCAGCCCATGGGCCCCATTGTCTAAGGCTAGGGGCAAGGTAGAAGAAACCACCAACCACCCTGCTGTGTTTTAGGAAAGATTTATTTCCAGACATGACAGAGTGCGCGCCTTTAATCCCAGCACTCGGGAGGCAGAGGCAGGCAGATCTCTGAGTGCAAGGCCAGCCTGGTCTACAGAGTGAGCCTGGGCTACATTAGGAGACTTTGTCTTCAAAAAGAATAAAGGAAGGAAGGAAGGAAGGAAGGAAGGAAGGAAGGAAGGAGAAAGGGATTGGAGGAAGGAAGATGTGTGTTGTGATTTATAAATATTCATAAAACATGCTAATAATATAAATCAGCAGAGATAGCTCAACAGTTGTGAACACACACTACTCTTGAAAGGGACCTGAATTCAGTTCCCAGCTCCCATGTCAGGAGGTTCACAGCCACCTGTAACTTCAGCTCCAGGTTATACGACCCCCTCTTCTGGCCTCCACCGGCTCCGCCCTCATGTGAACACAGCTATCACCGACACAGACACACACACAGTTAAAAATGAATACTTTTAAAATATAGAAAACCAGTTAAAATGATAAAAAAAAAAAAAAAGAAACCAATGAGTTACGAAGTAGAAGCAACAACAAGATTTATACAAATATGCTACGTCCTCATGGTCATGGGTTTCCACCCTTAGATTCATTTAATCTTAGCTCAATAACATCCTGGCCTGTGTCTATAGTAAATGTGGACAGACTTTCTCCTTCTCAATATCCCCTTATCAATACAGTGCAACAACTATTCACACATCCTTTACATTGTATGAGACACTAGAACTAATTTAGAAATAATTTAAAGTGCGCTGTGCATATGTTGTACTCAGATACCACTATATGAGTTGAACACCCATAGACTGTGATGTCCTGGAAACACCTCCCTGTATGCAGTGAAGATACACGGAGACTATTTCCTGCCCTGAGTCAGTGTAAATGCTAAGTCAATACATAGGGGTTTGCACTGGGGAGCTTTGACCCACTTGACATAAACTAGAGTCACCCAGGAGACAGTAACTTTAATTAATTACCTCCAGCAGGTTTGCCTGATGACGTATCCATGGGACATCTTCTTCATTGATAATTGGTGAAGAAGGGGGCCGTGGGCCGTCACTCCTGGGCAAGTGGTCCCGGGTTGTAGAAGAAAGCATGCTGAGCAAGCCAGTGAGCAATACTCCTCCAAGCTCTCCCCTGCCTCACTTCCTGCCCGGGGTCCCAGCCTTGGTCCCCCTGGATGATGGACTGTAAGTAGCAAGCCAAACAAATTGCCCTCCAAGTAGTTTTTGGTCAGTGTTTCATCACAACAACGGAGACCAGCTAGAATAGAGGTCCTCTTGCTTATAAAACTTAAGAGGGCATTGATTTTAAAAAAATTCTATAGAAACAGAATATGCAGGGTGAAATTTCTTCAGGGACTGCTGCTGCCCAGGGCACTGTGGGGTAGGTGGCTGTACTTATGCATAGGACTTTAATAGCCTCGGTGTAAATGTTTATAAGATTTCTTACTATAGCATAGGTTGGCAGCGTATTAAAACCTGGCAAACATAAATTCTATAGGAGTGGAGACAAGGTCAAGTGAATACCCTCTAGATGTAGAACTCACTGCCGACTTGCCTTAATTCTAAAATCTATTTTAGTGTATTTATGTAAGGCCCTGATTAATGCTCAGAAAACAAGTACTCGTTTCTCAGTCGAACCATCAAGCATTCAGTAAGTGCTGTGCAGTAATCTCTATGGAAAGCAGATTTTGCTAGCAGTGAAATACTTAACAGTGTTTCTGTAAGTTTCTGTTGTCAGTGAGCGGTTCACATAACTACTGAGGAGACATGCCCTTTTATGGGAGGAGGTCTCTCGGTTCTTGTCTTTTCCGGGAGGGGGGGAGGTAATCAGCGGACACACAAAGTTTGCGCAGTTTGCGTAACGAAGCAAGCAAAGATTCCAAGGACTTAGCTGTCCCAAAGAGAAGGGGGCAGTGCAGTAGGTTATGCACTGTAAATTTCTCTTTAATTCTTGTATTTGTTAAACAGGCGTCACTCCGGTAGAGTAAGGTGAAATCACTCACCAAATGGTGGTGAATCGGATCAACTCTTTAGGATCCCTCTTCCCGGTTTAGAAAAGCTTGCAATAGAGGCCAAAGCCACAATGAAAAGGGTACTTCAGGGAAAACGTGGTCTTTGGAGTGTGCAGGCCCTTCACTAGTGCACAGATGAGCAAATACCCCGGTGCCTTAATTTTCCATATGGTTTTAAAATAAGCGGTATCTGCAGCCCAAGCACGGTTGACCGCAAAGGGCACTGTGGCTGTCGTCAGACACAGATACACCGCACTTTTCTTGGTCTACATATCTGACTTCCTTTTGAGATTGCCCAAGGTCCCGTGACCGATCTCATAACTGTCCGAGGGTTGAGACATTTCCTTGCCCCACAGTTAAGACACCTTGCTTTTTTTTTTTTTTTTTTTTTAACATCAAGACTCTATCACGAAAGTTGGAAGCAGATGTGATAGTTGTACAGCTTGGTCTAGTTGTGGCGTTTCTGGCAGCGGGGGCGGGACCTGTCCCTGGCACTTCGGCAAGCTTTTGGGGACCCTTTCCTCATACCGCGTTGCTTCTGAGCCGTGGTAAGAGGGAGGCGCGTGGTCCTACCTCCACTGATGCACACACACACACACACACACACACACACAGCGCTTTGTCGGCGCCCACCGGAGGCCTACACAGAGAGAGGGGTGGGCGGGAGAGGGGCAGCTGTGCCTGGGATATAAACTGAATGAACAAATGTAAGTAATAAGAAATATTCGGAAGAAAAGGCAGAATGGTACAAGAGCTCGCCCAACTGTAAGAGAAGCAGAGCCTGGCCTGTCTTCCAAGACACGACCCTCTCCTTCCGCTCTTCCTGTCTGCCTCCCCCAGCAGCTCATCTCTGCTCCCGGAGAACCCCGACCGGTAGAGAGGAATCTCCCCACGCCGGTCAAAGAGAAGGGATCTCCTCCCTAGTTACTGTCTTTGGCACACACGGGGCCTAAGCTCAAAGAAAAGAAATAGGAACTACGAGGAGGAACGGAAAACCCTGCATTCCATCCAGTTGTAAGAGCAAGCGGTGGCGCACGCCTTTAATCCCAGACTCTGTGAGTTCGAGGCCAGCCTGCTCTACAGAGCGAGTTCCAGGACAGCCAGGGCTACACAGGGAAACCCTGTCTCTCATCTCTTCACAGATGAGGCCGTTCTTAACAGAATGAAGCTTGCCAAGCCTCCAGAACCTTCGGGAAACCCGAGCCTCCCGGCGCTCACGCCCGCGCCCGCACGCACGGCTTTCCTCGCGGGCAGAGGCCCTGGGCGCAGGCGCCCGCCGAGCTTGCCTGACCGCGCCTGACCGCGCGGTGGCGCCCGAGGCCCGGGCCCCGGGGAGCACTAACTTCCGGGCTGCCCGCGGGCTCCGCTCTAGCCGCCTCTCTCTCTCGCCTGCTCTCCGGAGCGGTGCGCAGGCGCGGGGCGGGCCTTCCGGGACGCGCGCGAGCGGGGTCGGCCGCAGGTAAGGCGCGCGGACTGCGGGGGTTCGGGGCCGGCCCGGGTCTGCAGCCCGGTGGAGGTGCCGGGGTGCAGACCAGACACGGACGTTCCTCCGCACCAGCACCCCGGCCCTCCCCTGCGTCCTGTGGGGAACTGAACCAACGAGAATGCGCTTCGCCTCCCCCGGTCAGCGCCCTCGGCCCCGTCGCTTCGCGTGGCAGGTGCACGCTGTGTGTGCTTTTAAAAATGCATTCAAGCTGACACCCGGGGCTTGCTTTTAAAAATGCATTCAAGCTGACACCCGGGGCTTGCATCGCCTGGGGTGGGGGGGGGTGACCAAATCCGTGCTGAACGGGATAAAGTTAGCAGCTGTCAGTTGCTTCGTGCCCTGTGACCCCGTGAAATAACTTTTAAATGACAGTTTGAATGCTGGTTCTGATCAGTTGCGTCTCGGTGACAGCACGTGAGCGTTCCTCGGGTCGTGATCGGGCAGGCAGCATGCCGTCGGTGTTGCAATCCAGGGAGACCGACCATGTATATGCCTGCCTCCTTTTACTCGGTGAGAGTGTACAGGCCCATAAGGCCTTTGATTAAAGAGCAGAGACAGGATTCTAGCTGCCTGTCCTACGTCAGGCTCGGTGCGCCCTGCAGTCAGCCGACGTTAAGTCCATGCTGCATCTCCACCTTTCAGAAGGAAAAAAGCAACCCTAATGCGAAGCCAGTTACCGAGCTCGAATTGATCTTTGAAATCAAGTCTAGAGGCTGGGGAGATGCCTCGATGGGTGAATGTTTACCGTGCAAGCATGGGTACTTGAGTTTGATCCCCAAAACCCACGTTTTAAATAAAACCAAGGCTGAGATGGGAGGGTCCCGGAACTCATCCTCAGCCAGTGTAGCCAATCCGTGAGCTTCAGGTACAATGAAAGACCTTGTCTCAAAAAATAAGGTAGAGAACAATTGGACGTCTGCTGTTAAACACTGCCCTACACATGTGCACACACATGAGCCTGCAAACACTGTAATAAAATAAATCAGATCCATCAGAAAGTTGAGAAACTTGTCTTTTTTACGACAAAGGAACCTTCAGACGTATGCTTAATGTGCTTTGCTTGACATGCTTAAGTAATTTGGTTTTTGCTTCTTATTTTCTCCATAACACTGTATTGCATTCACATTTAAAGAAACGTGGCATTTCAAAGGGACTGACTCGGGGCTGGAGAGCTGGCTCATCGGGTAGTAGTGCATATTCTAGCAGAGAGCCCACGTTGAGATACTACCAGTGTCTGTCAGGCAGTTCACAGCCACCCATAACACCGTTCTAGGGCAGAGGGTCACAATATGTCCCTTGGGTTCATGGATCAGATAATTTATGATTCATAACAGTCGAAAAATTACAGTTAGGAAGTAGCAACTAAATAATTTTCTGGTTGGGGTCACCACACCGTGAGAAATTGAGAAACGCTTCTCCAGGTGGGTGCAACTCCATCTGCCTCCTCAGGCACTGCACTCACTCACACAGATCCACCCACATAAATTTTTAAACATTAAAAATTTTTACACTATTATGTAACTCCCAGGATAATTTTATATGAATTAAAATCTAATCAACATGTAAATTATTTGACTTATGTCATTTTAAAACTTATGTTCTCTTCTTTGATAAAATTGAAATTCTTTAAAGAAGCATGCTAAGATCTTGAAAAGTCCTAGTGTTTTATTTTGTGTGTGTGTGTGTGTGTGTGTGTGTGTGTGTGTGTGTGTGTGTGTATACGGGTGAGAGGACATTTCAGGGGAGACAGTTCTCACTTCCCACCATGTGGGTTCCAAGGATCAAACTCAGTGCCGCCCCGGCCCGGCCCCTGAAGCTGCCAAGCCATCTCTCCAGCCTAAACTTTTTCCTTCTTTCTTTTTTATTTAAAGTTAGGGGGAAGGGGTAGCGCTATGTCAGTTTTAGGACCAGTAGTTACAGAACACAATCCTTTTTAGCCTGTGCCCACATACACACACACACCACAGCACAGAATAAATGAATGCAATCTTTAAAGCCCTTTTTAAAAAGTGCATCCTTTATTCTTTAAAGGGTGTGTGTCTGTGCTACGGAAGGAAGCCGGAGTCGTGGTGTTGCAAATAGGGCTGAGTCGAGGACTGGGGTCTGAAGAGGTTTAGTCTCTGCCTTTGTCTTAGAGACTTTGTCATTTTAAGACCTGGGTTTTGTGGTCTGTGTTGCCATGGATTCTGATGTGATCTTATTACTCATTATAAACCCCACCTGTCTGCTACATTGCAAAGTGAATATGTGGTTGCCCGGGCACCCAGTGATGGCCCCTTCCTCTCTTTCCTACCTCTCAGGTTACCAAGATACTGGTTGTCCATCCCCCCAATCAGGCTTTTGTAAACGAAAGCACCCTTTCAGGTAACTAGCGCACACACAGTTACACCCGAAACTTCATTTTATCAATTGTTAAGTTGTGTGCTTGTGCACTGTCTCAAGTGAGGACCAGAAATTAACATGTGTGTCTGTGTGAACACAGGAACACCGAGCTTTCAAAGACGTTTAGGATTGTTCCTTTTTTGAGTAACAATATACTGAGTATCACTACCCTACTTCTCACAATATTCCTGCAACCTTTCTTTTCAGAGTAAGGGAAAGTCAAATTTAGAGAGGCAAAGTTCAGAATAGAGCAAATGACGGAGCCATGTCTCATCCTGTAGCCTCTTTTTAAAAATAAAGTGATTGGGAATTCAAGATGTATTTCCCTTTAAACGCTGAAGCAAAACGATAGTTCCCAGACTGCGTTAAAGAATCTCTGGACATTTTTATGCCATTACAGTGGAAATTTATACACTAATAATTAAGCAAAAGAGGGTAGAAACAATCTGTTTTAAACTTGTGCCTGCAAAAGGAGTTAAGGTTTTAAAAAAAGCAAACAAAAGCAAAAGCAGGCATAGAAACATAGCTGGCCCTGAACATGTCTGCACATCTGCAAGGCCCCAGGAGGGCTGTGACCCTGGTCATTATTTCCTACTTGGACGTTAAACTGGTAATGACAACTTTCCCCCCTGTTAAAAATGAAGCCCTCATTCTAATAGCACCAGCCCAGGCCCATCTGCAACCACATGGCCACACAAGAGATGGCAGAGAGGTGTGTAAAAAGGAGGAGCAAGGAAAGCTAAGCGAGCCCCAGACGTGGTTGAGTGAAGCTCCCAATCTGACCCCTCTCCCCGAGCTAGCCTTTGGGCGGCACTGCTGGCCCAACATCATCTCGTTGGTGTTCTGTGTGGCAAATGGTTTGAGGCTAACATTCTACAGGCCCTTTGAGGGCAACCTCTGTTCTGTTTCTGGGTGTTGAAATAGCATGAATGCGCTCTTCAAACAAACTGAATTTATTTCCTGCAAGCACTATTTTGAAATTTTAGCAGGTGTCTTACACCTAGTCTTGTCTTAGGACAGGTGGGCAGGGCCTCTAACCCTGCAGGTGGCAGGCAGCTTCCTTGGTGTTCTTTCTTCCTCCCAGCTGTCCTGGCTTCTTTTTTTTTTTTTTTTTTTTAATTTAGAAGTATGAGCTTGATGGAGCCATACTTTTCTTTGCAAGAGCAAGTTTATTTTGGCACCTTCTCCTTGGGAGGTTTTGGTCTAATTCTCCCATTAGGTTTTTTTTTTTTTTTTTCCCCAAGATAGATGTCTGCCTTTTTTATGTTGAAAAGCCAGCTCCTTTTCCTCTTAGCCAAGCCATCCCCAAATAGTCTTTTAGCCAGCAAGGAATCTCATCTTGGCATGAAAATTTCACATAAATTGGCATATTCTGCCACCAGTAGCCCATCTATCTGACCTAGAATGAGGTGGCATAGTTATTCCACCAGAAGCATTCTTATTGTTGGTGGTAGATGTTTTTTAAATCTTTATTATGTCTGTGTCTGTGCGATTCCATGCCACTTGAGTGTGGTGCCCACAGAGGCCAAAAGAAGGCATCCCATCCCGTGGAATGGGAGTTTTGGGCAGGTGTGGGCAGCCCAGCATGGGCGCTGTGGACTGAACTAACCCTCTGGAAGAGCAGCAAGCTATCCCTCCATCCTCCAGGAACATTCTTGGTTCTTACACGTCGGTTATGTGGGGTTTGTTCTGTCTGTTAGCTATCATTTTTAGTGCTCTAGTTATCATTCTTACGTCTGTTTCAGCATTCTGTGGCTCTGAAGAAAACGTTACTGTTGAGCCAGTTTGCATTAAGGCAGATGAATAGCATCATAATTCCTAGGTGATTTTTGTTGAGGAACAACAGATCTTTTTGAGCTTATGATCCTTATTTGAGCTGTTGCGTTTCTGTTTCTATAGAACTACTCTCTGTTTTTCCCAGATGGCTTTCTGTTGCTAGGCAGAATTCAATCCAGTAACCTAGAGGCCAAATGACCTCATAACTCATTAGCAGTTCTCAGAGCCATCTGGTGCCCTTGAGGGGAACTTGTTCAAAGGACTGATAATAAAGACAGCAGCATAATTACTTCTCTGCCATGATTACACCTTTAGATGGCAAGCAGTCAGCGTATTTATTTGCAGATTGCTTGGGTGGTTGTTTTCTAAAGGTATAATAATGATGCTGTAGCAGAATAACTTGTTCCCCTGTCCCCTTCATCGGGCTTGCAAATAAGTAAACTTGACGACAAGTAAACAACCTATTGAACCACAGACTGTAAGAAAGGCATTATATACCAAAGAAACATAGCGCATGAACACAAAACGTAAACACCACAGGCGTGAGGGAGGTCTGTAGAGGGGGTATGTCTCAACTCCAGGGCAGATCTACCAAAGGGACAGGATAATTCATGGGTGGCTTGCTGTATTTCATTTCCTACAGTGTTTACTAGGTAAGTGTAGAATTTCCCAAGCTCACCTATTAATCTCCTGTTTTGTAGGGAATCCTGTTCGTCGCTGCTTAGGAAATGGCTTCGCTTTCAGAATATGCGCTGCGTATGTCCCGTCTGAGTGCCCGGATCTTTGGTGAGGTGGCCAGGCCCACTGATTCAAAGTCCATGAAAGTGGTGAATATGTTCAGTGAGCAGCCCTTGGCCAAAAAGAAAGAGACTTACGACTGGTACCCAAATCACAACACGTATTTCGCGCTCATGGGCACGCTGCGTTTCCTTGGCCTTTATAGGTGAGGAGAGGAAAGGATAGGGCATTGTGCAAGGGTGTTAGCAGATGGGCAAAGGAAAACAATTAGCTTGTCTCTCCCTGCAGTTCCGTGGCTCTTATCAAAAGGTCCAGCGTGTGGGGTGGGCGTTCCTTCAAAATTGCCTTGATTCAGGCAAACGAAAAACACAGCTTGTTGGGATTGTGTCTAAAACATAACCAGCATCAGATTATACTGAGCTATAGAGAGATGTCCAGTTGTTCATTAATTTCAGGGTGCTCTAAACAGGATGTGGGTAGGGAATGGGCCACAATGATGAGGAGTAAAACCCCCGCAAGCACCTTGGCTGCCGCAGCTGCTGGTTCTCGGATCGGAAGAACAGATCCCTGCCCCACACCTGGTCCTGCCTCCCGCGGTATGGCGGGTATGTGGGACCCTCCATTCCCTGCGGTATGGCGGGTATGTGGGACCCTCCATTCCCCGCGGTATGGCGGGTATGTGGGACCCTCCATTCCCTGCGGTATGGCGGGTATGTGGGACCCTCCATTCCCTGCGGTATGGCGGGTATGTGGGACCCTCCATTCCCTGCGGTATGGCGGGTATGTGGGACCCTCCATTCCCCGCGGTATGGCGGGTATGTGGGACCCTCCATTCCCTGCCGGCCCGCCGCAGTCCTGTTGAGGCTCTTACTCTTCCCACTGGCCTCCGGCTTTTCTGTGTCTTTGATATATTAATTAGGCTTGGATAAGCTGTAGTTCACTTTTGATGGTCATTTATAAATCACATAACTCTTAATACTGTGTTTTGTATGTTTGGTAGGTCTAAGAAGTGAGTGCTTAAGACCTTTGTAGGGGAAAAAAAAAAAAAGAATAAAATACCAAGATGGTCATTTTCTTTTAAAAACATTTCTTTCAAGAAAATTTCCAAATGAATACATGCCCCTTACAAAATATTAAAACAGTGTATTTCATAAAATGTAATTGCATATCACCTCTAAAATATAACATGTTTTAATTGGACCTAACTATTAACTTGGGACAATTCCCTGTAATAGAAAACAAATAACACAGCGTGATACTCATTCCAAAGAGCTAAAGGTTGGTACATTAATTTATCCAACCTACTTTTTAAGTTCTTTCCATGTATGGGTATTTAAGAAGGACAGTAAAGGAACAGCAGTAAACAAAACAAATGGATACGCTAAGTTAATATATTACTAGAGATTATAATGTATGGCCTACTTTTGAGTGTCTAGAATTGCTAGGGACTATCTCCTTTGCCATTAGTCTTGGCTCAGAAAAATAAAACCTAATTTTATTATGACCCAGAATAAAGTATCAGAGCTATATTCCTTGGAAGGTTATAACCCCTCACAAAATCACATTCAACTTTTTTAATCTGTCTGCTTGATATTGTTCTTCATTTATTTGAAGAGTCTTTGCAGACAAGGGAAAAAATACTAAGCACTTGGCTGTTCGTTGAGAAGCAAAGTTATTTTTATGTGTTTAGTCAATACTTATGGTAAATGATGCATGGCTCTCAGTAGCATCGGATGGGATGAATGTAGACATCCCTTCAATAAAGTCTGATGGAAAGGCCTGCAAAAGAGGGAGGGAATATAACCAACCAAAACAGTTGATTCACTCAGTTAACAAGCTGTTGCCTTTGTAGAGTCTCCTGTCTGATGGTGGACGTAAGCAGGGAGGGAATGAAGGATGGGAGAATGATGTAACTAATAATACGGTATGTTCTGTGACAATGTTGAACGTGCTGCAGGGTTGGTGTAGAACCAGCTAGACAGGATCCAGAGTGCTGACGGGCCTGTGGTGAGCAGGGGGATGGCAGGCAGGGCTGAGCAGGGGGATGGCAGGCCAGTCAGGGTCAGCCCCTAGAGGAGACTGAGGCTCATGGGTAGCGAGGGAACTGGTGAGCCCCGAAGAGGGACTTGTGGGACAGAAAGGAGAGTGAAGACAGGCGGAGCGTGCCTGCAATGCCCACGGGAAGACAGGAGGCCGGGCGGGGCGGGCCACAGGGGCCTGAGTGCTGTGGTAAAGAATGGGGCTCTTGCCCTGGACAGCAGAGTTTGGACAACGTGATCGGACATCTGCTTCAGATGAAGTACCATGGCTATGTTGAGAATCATTTGTCAGTCGTAGCTAATGCCAATGAGGTCTGTGTTATATTGCCCATCATGTTCGTAGAATGAAATATCACATTCTTTAACATCGATCTTTAAAAAAAAAAAAAAAAAAGCTTATTTGGGCCCATTTTATTAAACCCATTAAATAATGTATATTCAGTCTTAAGCCATTATTGCTCCCTGTTACAGATGAGGAGACTAAGGTGCAGAGAAAGCCAGGTGTAATCCAAAGTTGCAGAGCTGGTGCCCGGTGAACCTGTTTTAAAGCCAGGGTTCCATGGCTTACGCGTGTAAGCACTTCCTGTGGGCCTTTAGTTAGGGTGTAGACATTTTAATACAGTTGTAGCCGTCCTCACCTTCTGCGCTGCCCACAGGTATAATTGGTCTTGGCTGCTATGACTCCTGGAAGGCCTGTCTTGATTTGCTTTCCCCCTGCCTCAGCCTTTCCCGGCATCCTTTCTGGGTGGGCACCCACTGCCATGCAGGCTGTCCTGGAGAACTGCCCATTTTTAAGTGGATGCTAATTCCCAGGGCAGTCAGGATCTCTGTGCAGCTACTGAAAATTATACTCAAGTTTTGTTTTGTTTTTCAAGACAGGGTTTCTCTGTGTAGCCTTGACTGACCTGGAACTCACTCTGTAGACCAGGCTGGCCTTGAACTCACAACGATGCACCTGCTGTTGTCCAAAGTTTTATTCCTCTGGATGTTCAGTCTTTTTAGTTTTTTTCTTTTTTTTTTTTTTTTCAATACTGGGAATCTAACCCAAGGTGTTTAGCCTTAATATAGGGAAATGTTGGGTAGTGTATCTCGTAGGTACATAGGGTTAGCTGGGCTCACCTGGAAGATTACTGCTCCTTGCAGTACTATCTCTGTGAAGGAAAACTGCCGTCCGAATTCTTACAACTCAGCCACTCTATATGTTGGGTATACCTTGAGTCCACCCAGCTAAGCACATCCCCCGAAAAGCCGTGCTCAGCAGCCTTAGGAGAACAGCTCTAGACGGGCACCTCTCTGGCTGGTAAACGTCGCTGGCTGATTTTTCCTTTCTCCTTTTTCCCCCTTCCAGAGATGAGCATCAGGACTTCAAGGATGAGCAAAGGCGTCTAAAGAAACTCCGTGGGAAGGGGAAGCCAAGGAAAGGAGAAGGGAAAAGAGCTACAAAAAAGAAGTAGAGTCAGCTCGCCAAGAAAGAATGTTCCTTCCTCAGTGACTGAGAAAGTGTATCTCATTATCTGACCTTTCTCAGTAGATATCAACCCATGATCTCATCCACTTCCCTTAAGCTGTGATGGGCTCTTGAAGATTCTATTCTTCAAATTGTATTTGCCTTGGTTATGTACTCTGAAGTTTACCTAATTCTCTAATGGAACGAATAAACCATTGTTTAGGGGTCTGTTTAAGATGGGAATGGGAGCAGGGCCTTCGCTAAGTGAGTGCCCTGTACTATATTCCTCTACTGTTCCCACACCCCACCACACCTGTCCATTTGGCTTTGTCTTCCCCTTCCGGCTTACTCTTTGAAGGAGCCCAGACGAGATTAAAAGCCTTTAAGAAAAGAGAGTATTGAATGCCTACTTTCTACAAGGTGTGGAAGCCTTGCTGATAGAGTGATAGTTTTTAGCTCATGGGACTTTTAAGTCTTATAGAGGAGTCTGATATAAATATGTGTATTTAATACAACTGAAATTCTCATTTATCTGTAATTGTATTAAAATGCTAAGAAGAAAACTGTGAGATGGCATGTGGGCAGATAAATGAAAATATTGGCAAAACCAAATTAGGAAATTTAGAGACTCTCCTAAAGAAAAAAGAAATTACATTTAAGCTGAAGACAAAGGACAAATAGAAAAATAAAGAGGAAAGTGTGTGAAGTGAGAAAGATTGAAAAGCCTTAAGGTAAGGAGAAATTCTTGGCCTGGTAGTAGTGATGCACGCCTTTAATCCCAGCACTCAGGAGGCAGAGGCAGGTGGAGCTCTCTGAGTTCAAGGCCAGCCTGGTCTACAAAGTGAGTTCCAGGACAGGCAGGGCTACCCAGAGAAACCCTATCTCAAACCAGAAGAAGAAAAAGAAGAAGAATTCTTGTTCCAAAAATTGAAAACAGGCCACTGACTGGCTCATGCTTAACCATCAGGATAAAGACAGGCCAGGGAAGTTGGGACCTAGGGAAGCTCAGACAAGACAGCAAGTTTGAAGCCAGCCTGGACAATTTAACAAAACCCTATCTCAAAACAGGGAAGAGAGGTTGGCATATATCATGGCTAAGTCCTTTTTAACCTCTTGGTCATAAAGCAAAGGACAGAAGCAAGAGCAGACAGAGCAGCTACTGTAGATAGGATTTCCTTTCCCTGAGCGTTGAATGAGTCCTGGACTAGTAAGAACTCAAGTGCATCTGTTTAGACGAATGTTATTTTTAAACATGCATAATCCAGATGGTATGGCTAGTGCTTATACAGCCTGGGGGAGGGGGGGACGGGTAGTTAAAATTGGGTGATTTGTGTGTGATAGAATTGAACTCAAACAGAAGGTTCAGAATCCATCCATTTAGCGCCTTCCTCTGAGCACCTGCCATATGCCTGACTCATAACAGTTGTGAGGTGGGAGAACGGTAAGAATGAATAGATGCCGTCTCTCCAAGGCCGCCAATGGGTGCTGCCGCTGTTACCGAGTGATGGCGAGAGCTCAGAAGTGTGCTTAGAGAAAGCGCATCTGGCAGTACAGACGAACCAGGAGACAGTCAGAGCCTGGGCTTGGGCTGAGTCTCCAACTGTACAGAGCTGAAGCCATGGCCCAACAGGTAAGAGTTCTTGTTTTGCAGAGGACCCGGGTTTGGTTCTCAGCACTCACATATTGACTCACAACTGCCTGTAACGCCAGTTTGAGGGGATTGGATGCCCTTGGGGACCACCGAACACACACACATACATACATGCGGCTAAAACACCCGTACCCGTAAGACAGTTTTAGAAGTTTTAACGAAACCCTGGATGAAGAGGAACTAAGAAGACATAAGAGGATGTGTGAGCAGATAACTGCAGTAGATGCTAACCACAGACCTCGGGCAAACAGCAGAATCTCTCCTGGTTAACTAAGGGAATAGTGTCAACAGCTCGGGCTGCAGGGAACCTTAGCAATGGCCACTTCGGAACTGGTAGTTACCCGGCTTGAATAATGGCCCTGATGGGCTCATGTGTTTGAATGCTTGGTCACCAGGGAAGGAAACTGTTTGGAAGGATTACAAGGATTAGGGGGTGTGGCCTTGGTGGAGGAAGGCTTTGAGGTTTCAAAAGCCCATGCTAGGCCCAGCTCTCCCTCCCTGTCCCTGAAGATCAAGGTATAGCCCTCAGCTGCAGTCCTAGAGCTATACATACCACCAACCTCGCCACCATGACGATGGACAGCCGTAGAACGGTGACCGAGACAGCCCCACAGTAGGTCAGTGTGCCACTGACAAGCTCAAAACCGGAGACAAGCTGGGATTTATTTGCACATAAGCTGCCCAAAAAACCAACTGTTGGAGCAAACACTATGCAACTCACGACAGCTTACGATGACCTGCATCCTCACCAGAGGCAGGACGGGAAGGAGGAAATAACGAGATGCCGTAGGGGGCAATGCGATTCGGGAAGAATAAACGCAACCAGGGAGAAAATCAGCATCAGAGCTAGACTGCTACCATTAGATCTCCCATCAAAACCTGAACGACTTGTGGTTTTCTTCTAATGCTTGGTATTTAGTGTGCGTAGAGGATTTTACCATGGGTTCTGGCATAGTGTAAAAAGGCTGAGTTTTGCATTCAAAAATTGAGAGGTTATTATGTGGCTTGCTGTACTGTAACCCTTTGCTACTTTTCTCAACCTCTTTGTGAAACCATGATACGTTTTACTAAAGGGCTGGAAAGATGGCTCTGTAGTTAAGAACACCAGGCAGGGGCGGCCAACACTTTTAATCTCAGCACTCGGGAGGCAGCGAGAGACAAATCTCTGAGTTTAGGCCAGCCTGGCCTACATAATGAGTTCGAGGCCAACCCAGGCTATATACAGAGACCCTGTCTCAGAAAGCAGCATACACACTCATATGTACATATGTGTATTTATGTATGTATACTGTGATGCTTTTTCTTACACTGCATCCTCTAACTTACAATTCCACTTTCTTCACGCATTTTCACTAATGCTCCTAAAGCTACTAAATTTAGGACATAATCTGAGATGGAGCTAACAACTTACTTGAGGAACAATAGATAACATACAACATGTTTTAGTTGGGCGGTGGTGACACACGCCTTTGATCCCAGCACCCAGGAGGCAGAGGCAGGTGGATCTCTATGGTTCAAGGCCAGCCTGGTGTATAGAGCAAGTTCCAGGACAGTCAGGGCTACACAGAGAAACCCTGTCTCAAAACAGAAACTATTAAAATACAAACTGAGTAAATACAATGACGTAATTTGTTAAATGAGGGCACAGGGTCTTTGAGCTCATAGATGAGCACTAGGGAAACCAGAAACGTTAAGCGTGAAGGCTTGTCTCTTCAACTGAAAGTATGTACACACGTTTCACACCCAGAAGTCTGGGAATGGATGCAGCTAATAGCCCAGAGATCTGCGCTATCTGTAGGGCCTGGCCACACTTGAATGCCCGGACTATTATGTTTATCCCAGGCCCTTCCTTCTAAGATCTTGAATACTGTTTCTCAGTCAACAGAAGCCATCCCTATGGGGAGATGTCACCTGTACTTCACAGCCTGGTGACCTGTATGGTATCTCAGTGAGAGACCTGGGCCCTTAAGCTATAGACCCCATCTTCACAGCAGAGGTCCCATGCCCTTTGCAAAAGACTTTTGATGTAGTCACACCTTAAGCTTTATTGTGCACAGGGAATTGAGATAATTATGAGGAAACATCATGGTTTAATAAGGATCAGGAAAAACAAATAGGCCAAATAGATGTTTATTCAGGGAGAAATAACTCACAACCTAGACAGATGCACCAGCAGGTTCCTGGTCCCAGAGATGCCTCCGGATGCTTCTGTCCCCCTGCTGCAAGCAAGAGGGTGCTCTAGGGCCTTTCCCCAGACCTAGTTCCCCCAGGTCACTTCCCCCTGTCCCCACCCTCAATGGGCGTGGTCAGTGCCACAGGTGCAGACAAAGTGAATATCTCACTACTGAAACTTTTCCAAAATTGTACTGTACTTAAATATGCCTTAAATAAATTTCAGGATGTCAGGCTCTAGAAGCTTGAACCAGCACCGATAACTAAGTGACTGGATTTCCTTCTTGCCTCACTCCGACCGTTCTTCTGCCGGCTGCAGCATTTACAGGCACTGCCACAGTTAATCTTCTCTAAGCTGAAGTAATCACCAAAGCCCCAAAGAAAAGGCAAGAAGAGTCAGAATGGGTGTCCAGGGAGAGGGTGCTGGGAGGGAGGCACAGTAAAAAGCTTCAGGGATCTGTCTACCTGGCCAGCAATGGTCCTGGCTCTACCTGTCAGGTGTAATTGTTTCAGAGCAATGGAGGGTCCTGAAGGTTTACAACTTCCTATGGAAGGTGTGGGAAGTAAATTGCCCTTGACTTGGGTCACTTTTGGCTCTTAGCACAGTGATAGCTAAACGTTCTCAAGTGTAGCCCCCTGGCAGGCAGCTCCACGTGTTCCGGAAACAACCTGCACACACCCTGCAAAAGCAAACCCTGTCTTCCAACAGCTGTGTGCAACGCTGACCGGAACACGGGCTGCAGGCAGAGACAAACATCCCCTTCACTGCTGTCCTAGCTGACGCCATTTCCAATGCATTCAAAGGGCCGGTGTCCTCTTCCTCTCCTTCTTTTCTAATGTTTACCTTTTGGGAGCTATATATTAAAGACGGGTGCATTCAAAGCACATCCAGGAAAAGTTAGAATGTGACCACATATGCCCAGAGAAGGGCACAGAGTCAGAGACCTGGAAAGGCCTGTGTCACAGAGATGGCCTACAATAGTGAAACACAAAACTTAGGGGAAATCACATAAAACAAAACAAGCAAACAGAAGGGGAGAAAAAAACACCTAGGGATAAGAGAATGAAATTTGCAACTTGCCACACTGTTAGATTCCAATGTCATTGTCAACAGTAACAAAAGCAAAAGTCACAAAGCATGCAGATAAACATTTGGCCCATTCTGAGAGGGGGGAGGGAGACAGGGAGGGACGGAGGGAGGAAGGCAGGGAGGGAGGCAGGGAGGGAGAGAGGCAGGGAGGGAGGAAGGGAGAGAGAGGGAGAGAAAGAGCAACTTGACACCAGCTAGAGTCATCAGAGAGAAAGCAGCAGATGAGAAAATGCCTTCATAAGATCTGGCTGTAAGACATTTGTGATCAATGGGGAAGGGCCCAACCCATGGTGGGTGGGGCCAACCATAAGCTGGTGGCCTTGGGCTCTATAAGAAAGCAGGCTGACTCAGCAGTAGCACTCACTCACCTTTAGTCCCAACCCTAAGGAGATGGAGGCAGGTAGATCTCTGAGTTTGAGGCTGGCCTGCTCTACAGAGTGAGCTCCAAGACAGCCAAGGCCACATAGAGAAACTGTCTCAAA